TTATACTTAGTTATAGCACAAATCATTTATCAATGCCCAAGCCGAGTTCCTGCCAATTGCGCTCTTTACTTCAACCCGTCCTACATAGAAGCAACCGAGGCTGGAACGTTAAATAAGTTGTAGATTGCTATAGACTCAGGTTATTTTCGCATTTAGGCTCTATTTTCAATTTGCAACTCAAAACCTCCCCGCCTCCCGAGAGGCAATACTCAACTCTGGGCCGCTAGCAAAGGGCAAGTAAGTCGAGACATCGCGGCTACCAACGTTATGTCCCATGATCGAACCGCCGAGAACGACTTGTCGCTGAGGGTTCTCGAAGGGCTAGTTCCACTCTTGTCTTTGTGCCTCAGCCCTTTGAAACGACCTCCAGAGGCGTTCTAACCCTTCCTTCAGTGCCTCCTTTCCTACAGTGAATGTCACACGAAACCAGCCATACTCCTCAGACACGTAAACATGCCCTGGGGCAATCATAACGCCGTGTTCAATACAGATATTTGCAATACTTATCTCGCGTGCCTTATAGATATTCCCCTCGGGAGACTCGGTTGTTAGGATACTGAAATCAAGTTGCTTTGATGCGGATTGTGGTAAAAGTAGATGGCGAACATCTATCCATATAAAAAGACCGGCATTGCTTCTGCTTATTAGAATATTGCTGAGAACGAAATATTCGACGTCTTGGTCGACTCACGGTTCTCGGTATCGAATGCCATGCTCGCGAAAGAATGACGTAACGATGTGATAGTTTTCTATCATAAGTGTAGCCTTCTCATCCATAAATTTGTGTAGCCACTGGCTGTCTTCAAGCATGGTAGCCCACGCATCTTGGAGGAGATGTGCTGACCAGGAAAAGATGCTAATGCCGGTGTTACGTTGGGTACACCCAATGTGAGACTCCGGTTGAGCACGAACCTGATGCTTGACATTGCGCCCATGATTCACTCATTTTGTGAGAACACGAGGCCGAGACGTAGGCCATTCGCGCAAAAGTCCTTGCTTGCTCCATAGAGCACGTGGTGTCGGTTCGCATCAATGACACCGACAAGATCAAGCGACAGGCTTGAAACAAACGAATCGGCATCTGGAATGGCATTATTTTTGAAGACAGATTTTGCGTAGATTTCATCGGATATGGAATGCAAGTCATGTTTGCCACATACAGAGGCAAATACTTCTAAAGTTTTGGGAGGCTGTTGTCAACGGGGCAGATACACGCAATCAAGGTTTCTGGCGGCGCACTCGTTGCATGGCACACCGCCCTGAACACTTGATTCGCGGCTTGGCACAGGTCGAACAGGTTCGACAGAGGGTCGCCGAGGGTGCTGATCCAGATTCCATACGGACCTTTCTAGCGCGCAATTGCTCATGTCGTTTTGCTGAGTCTCTATAAAGCTCGTATTAGCTTGAAATTAGCCTAATACAGATGTAGAAGAGAAACTCCGCAATCATCTAATGCTCAAAGGAAAATACCTTCAATTAGCACTCACTTCCTTCCAAACGCTTTGCACAATAGCCTCACTCAATCGGCCTTCCTTAACGATGGATTTAACTGCGTCGTAACAAATGCTCATGTCGTGAAAACTGGGTATAGCAAATGCTGTACTTTATGGGATCCGTCGCCCAGTGACCGGCGGGCTCGTCATCGCTTGGAATTTCTGCCATCTGAGGCTCCTAGAAAAAAGAGATTGGTAACCTCAAGTGGAAGTGCCGACTTACCAAACAACAACTGGTTGTCTATCCCCCAAGTCTGCATATTTAGCAGATCAACAGCTACGTAGCTCAAAGGCGATAAAAGAGGTTGGCTTGCGGCTGTCTGTAATTAGGGGAGGGGCGCATCTTGTATAGGCAAGTCGGTGGTGTCGGCTAAATCGTCCGAGGTAGCATAGCCTTGGGTGTTTTTGAAGTTGGAAATTACATCATGTCTCGAAGAGTTGAGAATTGCCGAGGTTTTATAAAATTGAACACCGTTTACCTCGCTCTTATATGATAAATTCCAAGGCATTTCTTTTGTCGCCTTTAGCTTTCTTTACTGTACTAAAACTCTTGAGATGTCTTCTGTTAATTCCTAGAAACAGTAGTATCAAGAGGTTAGGGTGCCCTAGTATACACATACCCAGAGGGGGGACTAGAAGCTCAACAGTAAAAAAAAAACACCAACAATAGTATCAACAATACAGACCATATACCCAGTCCACTTAAAAGTCAACAGGTTATTCAGACAGACTAAGGTTTCTAGTCCAACTGGTTACCTTTTGCAATACCTTAATAAGCTGCAGTAATAGCTGCATCTTGAAAAAGCTAGATCTGCTGGAAAGCTAGATCTTGGAAAAGGGAAACAGTAGTATAACGCCTAGCAGTATTGTTACCTGAGACTGATATAACTATAACAAAGAATAGAGGGTTTATACACGAGAGCATAAGTGTCACATATATCGGGATATCGGATTCCGGATATATCATACTATTGAAGCTTTCTTCTTTCATCATAGGCGTCCATCGCCACCTGCTTCGTCATCGGCCTCGTCACCGATCTCATGATAGTCCTAGCTTTTCCTTGATTTTTCCTATAGCTAGCTGAAGCCAAAGACTCCGGACCATCCGGAGCCTCTCGGCCGTCCGAGGTCATCCGAGGTCATCTTCATCTATAAGACTGACCTAGCAGACCTCAATTAGATAGGAAGAATAGCAAGAGCTTCTCACACATATGATCCTATCCATCTGCTAGATGCAACAATAAGACTTAAAAAGAGAGCTGGAGGTCGAACGAAAACGCAGCTGCGTCAGTTGGTAGATCAAAAGGAATACTAAGCTACAAATTAAAGCTACCAGTACTCTACTTAAACTACCAATTATTTCTTGCGCATTAGGCTCGCTCACTTTGTTTAAGGAGTACAGGTAGTTGTAATAATGTAGTTGCCATTCTGATTGTTGTTGATTACATAGCGATATACTGCAAGCTAAGAGGCATTTATCAATAACTGGAAGCGACCCTACCTTGAGCAAGGTCAAGAGCCTGTGGTAGATCCTCAGGAGGCGGCTGACGATCTTTTTCCTGATACGTGGCATTCTTCCGCGGAGATGGCTTGGGCGAACGACGACTTGGCGCCGCCAGGCAACCCAGCGAGACGGCTCCTCGCACAATGAGAGCAACGCAGACTTGTTTAGCAGAGATGGGCCTGAGGTCGCATTTGAGACTGAGCTAGTAGAAAGGCAAAACAGCCCGGGTTTCAAAAATGAGATACTAGCAATGACTCCTCAGTGGCCAGAGCAGCCTGTGGCGACGAACTGGCTACCCTTCGACGACTCTATCAAACCCCGATAATAAACTAAAAATCCACCCGGCAGAAGTTCCGCATCTTTCCACGAGCGTTCTTTGCAGCCCACTGCTCTAGTGTAGTATGTCTACTCTCACCCCGCTCGCCAATGGACCCTCGAACCCTCGGAAACCTCTGGAGACCAAAACATTAACGAATTTCTGATAGAGATCTCTTTTGCCCTGGGAGGCTTATACAGGGTGTCAGAGCAAGACACCGACCAATCTGTACAGGGCCATACTATGATCGTCTTGGCTGTTTCCAATCACGGATGCCCGCAGTGCTTGATGCTCTGCCGACATCACGGACAGGAAGGCGATGAAGAAGAGAGGCGATTCTGGGAAGCTCATTCGGCTATCTATTCCAGTACGCAGGAACGAAAATAAGCGTATGAGAAGAAGAAGTATACCCAACCCATCACGGCCCAGATCAGGGATCCGTTGGCTACTAGATTGGGCAAAGATTGCTTTGTGAATTTTTGAGAAATGATAACGTCAGAGCAGCGCCGGTCAGAAAGGTCAAAGGTGAGGAGTTGACGCGATTGAGGGAGTATTACCGAAAGGCCCAGGACAGGGCGTACTTGCAGTCACTGCAGTAGGCTGCTATCTCTCGGACCATGTCGTGGTAGAGCGTGTTGACGTGGCGAGACAAGATTCATAAGCTGCTCCTTGAAAGGGGGCTGAGTGAGCCCAAGGGGGCCGTCGTATACGGTTGTACATAACTTATACCTCGATCATGTTACAGTTGATAGCCTAGTATAGGCGACATAAGTCATGTCTTAGTCGGACTCGAAATTGCTTACTTTGGCGTCCTCTTCTGTGACCAACGTGTACAGTTGCAGGCTCAAAAAGGAACCGTTCTCCAGTGTCCCCAAGGGTTTTTCAGTTTGACAGCACTTTCACGATAACGAAGCATCCTGTATTAAGTATTGCATTTGTCCTGGGGCTCTACAGGCAGCTGGGAATAGACAGCTTGGGATTAACACGAGGTTCAGCGTTGGCAAGGCTGGCCTAGGCCAAAGTTGACCCTTCTTCCCCTGACTGAGGTGAATCAAATCGGCAGCGATCGATCAATGTGTTGCTCTGAGTTAACCTTTCATCCAACGTGCCAGTTACACGGGACAGTCCGCAGCGACTGTTTTTTTTTACTCTGTGCCAGCGGCAACTTGCTCTCGATGGCGCGGAGAGCCGTAAAGACTCTAGCGTAGCCTGTTTCTGTTAATTGTTGGATTGTGACCCTGTATTACGAAACCTCTGATAGATTGATATCCTGACCTTACCCAGAAGGGGGCTTAATAACCCCTCTTCTGGCGGATCCGGATGATGGGGAGAAGATGTCATCAACATCATCAACAACATCATCATCAGATATTATTATCAAATTGAACATAATTCCATCTATCAATCTAGCCGTACGGATTCCAACAATTGATCAAATGGTCTGATTTCAATTGATGATTGTATTGATGATCTTTTCCCCCCACCCCCTCTTTTCTGAGAGGGGCTTCTTCTATCAGAAAAGAGGGGGTCGGGGACAGAAGATCATCAATACAATCATCAATTAAAATCAGACCATTTGATCAATTACTTATCTCGTGATCGACCTAGGCGTATTGGATCCATCATCCAACATTAATTCTAAACTGTACATAGCAAACGCTTAATTTCATAAATTCCAACAGTCTCCTTGATCCTTGAGACCTGGAGACACACGATGGACCTTGCAGCTGAAGACGATGCAGTGGCCGTGCCCTTTCTCTTTGCTAAGTGATCCTGAGATGGCCCATTGATTCTTTTAGCATGTGATTGTGCAACCCGTTAGCGTCTTACCTAAAACATATGACATCACATTTACGTTATTAACTCTACCCCCATCTGTGTCAATCCTCCGGCTATACTTTCGTCTCAGTTAATAGACCGCGTTCTAGACCCTTCCGATCAGAGTTCAACACTCCAGGTTGATTTTACCATTGAAGGTGACAGAGATCATCAGACATGCTAGCCACGAGAGGTTACTGTGATCAGTACTTCCCAACTATGTCAATCTGGTGTCCCCGTGATAATCAGCCACCAAAGGGCCACAAAACTCAATTTAAAAGTCTCAGGTTCTTTCAGAACTTTTTTGTCTATCTAATGGTACCCCAAAAGTAAGTGGGAAACCTCAGGGCAATAGGCCATATTTTACTTATGGAAGAGGTCATTTGTTTTTAGGTAAAGTGGCCAAAATGATGACATTGCCGGGCTGAGAGTGGCTGTATATCGTGACGGTAGGACTATGACGTCACGGAATGTCTGCAGTAATGTCTGAATTCCGATTCCAGCCCGAGACTTGCCCACTGCGTTATGTTGCTATCAAAGGATTATAAATTAAGGGATACTCACATTTGTTAGTTCGCGGCCACAACAGAGCTGTACACACAAAACATCTCGAAGTTCGACTGCAAATTGATTCGTCCCCGCAACCATTCTTCTTCCTCGTTTTGCTTAGATAGCCTACGCCTCGGTCAACACAATTCCACGAGACCAACACAAGCATGGCCTCCCGAGAACTCGTCGTGGTGGTCTTAAACCTGACCAATGAGGAGCTCAGCCTAGTGCCCGAATCCCCAAATCTCTCCCATGGCAAATGGAAGGATGATCTGGAGTCTCGGCCTCCCCAAGAGATTCGAGCGGGAGAGAGTGGAATGTGGCGTTGTCAGGCAGAGCACATTGGGGTGCAGATTGAGGGATCCGTCAGCTACTCCATTGTTGGTTATGACTCCAATGTTAGGGCGACATTTACGTGGAAAATATACTCCGTTAGGCCAAACGAATTCCATCAGTCTTGCGCAGCAGAGAGTTTCGAAATCCAAGTTATTGGAGGAGGTGGTAGCCAGCCCGTCGTGGTTTACATCTTCAGTAAGTGGACTACACCAATAATGGTCATTTTGAACTCTCTAACAAGACCTAAACAGAACCAGTTAATTCATAGGCTAAGAGTATATTGACTCTCTACAAGATACTGCTGGAGTAATATGTCCTTGGTGGCATCTGATTCGCGGCATATAGTATATTTTCGGCCTGTCAAACACCCATCCTTACACAAATTCACATGATACGTTCGCAATATCCGTGGTGCAATTTCCAAATGCCTGAGGGATGTAGAACACCAATCGGTGATGTCACCCAAGATGTTGCGACTGTATTGGCTCGTAGAGCTAATTGTTTGTACTGGATCGTGAGGTTAATCTCCTGTTCTAGAATCTACAACTACAGAATCTGACAGTCCTGCCCGCATTCGCTATATATCTTCCTCAATCTTCTCGATCTGTGCGTTTGAGGCCAACTCCTGCGCCGTTGTCACCTCCTTAGTCGCCTCATACTCCTGGTTAGCAGCTCGGGCGCTATATTCAGCGCCTCAACCTCGCTTTATTTGTCCGCGATCGCCTCTTTAATGCTATCGAGTAAATTTTGGTCCTTCACTATAAGCTCCATAGCAGCACCACGTCACTCCGATATCTCTTTACGCAATGCTAGGAGGCTGGTTCAGACTGAGTCTCGAAGGCCAAGGTTTAGGATATGTCCGAGTTGGTAGCCGGTCGTTGCGTCGACTAGCAACTGGCTGGCTGATGGTGACGCCCCGGAAGAGTTCTTGAGGTTGGTTGAGGTAAAGTGTAAGTCGTTGTTAACGGTCATAGCCGAGAATGGTGGGCCATTTATCAACCCAACCACCGGTAAACTGCAGTAGGCAATCAGCGGGATTGGTTGCCACCGCACTATCCCTGATCATGACTTCTCCTGGCCAGGTTTGCCTAGGTCATGAACGCCCACTCGAATTTGGTCCCCCGCGTGGTCTACCTATGCTGCTTGGTTGGTGGTCATTTATTTTTCCGCCACAAATTGCGGAGTTGTTGCGAATGCTGTTCCAGGAAGAAGCGACCCCAAAAGCAATACTGAGCTTCCTAGTCGATGGGTAGTTTCTGAATGGTATATCAAGAGGTTAGGGTGCCCTAGTACACATACCCAGAGGGGAGACTAGAAGCTCAACAGTAAAAAAAAACGCCAACAATAGTATCAACAATACTGAATGGTATATATTTTATTCAGTTCATACCGTATCTTTCCCAACTAGTCTACCCTCAAAAATTTATATTTCTTCCTGTTGGCAAATGCACTTTAGCCACGTTCTCCAATTTATTCGCTCCGATCAAACCGCATTTGTTCAATATCCCCATTCACAGCTTCACGTAACAGTTGATGTATTGAGATGTAAAGGATAGGCTGGTTGATGAATCCACGTGTTTAGTTGGTGTTTTGTAACCAAGCAAGGCAAAGGTGCCACGTCCTGTCTTGATCAATCACACTATACATACAGAGTTTGGTTGATTATACAGAACTAAGTGAAGCCTAGGGGATGCTGATATACTCTCCCTGATATTCTGTTTCAACTAAGCGATCCTTGTTTATTTCGCTGACGTCAGTGTAGGGTAAGTGATATTTTTGTCGCTCAATAAGGAGAGGCAGCCTCGTCCATACCTGCAACTAAAAATAGCGCAACAATGTGCATAATACCATAATCATATTACCATCAATACCCTTGGGGGCAGTGAGTCGGTTTCTCGATTTCTCTTTCGTCCAATCTGCATTTGTTGTGGGAAGCAATTCAAAGGCTAACCGCCCCCCAGAAGAACTGAATGTCTCAAATCGTAAAAAATAAAGAACGACATGAAATCCCCATGGAGCGGGACCTGCACCGGCTGAGACGAGCCATTACATTCGAAGATACTTGGAATTCAACACAGAGCACAGCTTGTACAGCCGAAGACGGCAATGCGACTATGCGTCTAAGTTGACCTGAGTACCGATGATGACCCTAAATGAGGATCGGATCATATTTAGTTACGACATCACAGATCGGAGGAGTATATCGCAATATGTTGTTACTGGTGTCTCCCTAGCCACGCCAGAACGTTTGGTCGGTAAAAATTTGCGTGAGGATTAGGGTTCAGGAGTCGTCATGCCAGCGGATATTGTTCTGGATCGCATCCTCAACTTCAATAACAAAGAACATCCAAGCGACTTGACTGTTCCATGCCTGCCCTAAATGGATGTAATAGTTAATAGATGGGGCAAGGTGTCATACGGACTACAGGTGTGGACACGTCAGCCTGACGCAGAGCTGAATGCAATTTGTGCGCCACAGAGCTTGCTGACCATCAAACGCCGCTGAAGTGGGGATTGTAATTCCAACAATTGCAAATTCCAAGCATTGTAATTTGAAATTCCAGATGTTATTAAGTATCAAGACGATCCCTTCACTTTTTGTCACTGCCGCAACTACTTTCGACACCTCAAATTTCCCGTACCCGGTACTGCAAGTCTTGGTGCGTTATCTACCAACCAAGATGAAGACCTGGATCGACGAGACATCTGTCGCTACGGAGGATACGAACATGATTGCCTCAAGCCTGCTCACGCCGGCTATAACACCTAGCGAGCGAAGCTATCCCGACGGCCTTGGGTCAGATGGTTCTGATATCTCGGCCTCGGAATCCCCGACTACTGGAAATTCGGAACCTGAGACTTCGGCCTCAGGTCGTGTAAATTCCAGCTTGTATCGGGCATGCATCAACTCCCCTGATCGGCGACAACCGCCTGTTTCACACCGAGGACGAAATCGAAATGTCAACCTTAAACTCTGTTTCTTGAGTTTTCTGCCCATGGTCGCATTCCTTGCTGTCGCAGCAATTGGCTGGTGGATGGGGTCGTGGGAGAAACCACCTGCACCGCCCAGACTCAACCCGATCGACGAATTTTTGGCATCTCAAGACGACTGGATCGCCACCAATGAAATATTCACGGAGTACGACTATCTGCCGCAGAAGATCAAAAGTGGCGAGACAGCGATGACGGATTTGATGATCGCTGTGAAGTACTCGGACCTCCCTGGACGCCACCGTCTGGCGAGGGAAATGCAAGAGTTTTCGGCCACTGCTGAGAAGGTCGTTGACAATTTGATTGACTGGAATAGTCTGGCTGGAGCTACAGTGGACAGAATCCAAAATATGAACTACCATGCTCTATTGGGATATCAGAGTTTGCAGAGGATGGCTTCATGGACTGTCATTCCGGCTCCTGCTGCTGGAGATGTTGGATTAATTCCCACCTTGCAGCACTTCGGTCACCTTATTTCAGTTTCCATGGTTGGAGACAAGGAACAGGTGGCGAGACAATTGCACCAGCTGTTCATTCAAGAAGCCGCCAAGGCTGGCAGCCAGCTGAATCACCTCAAGATCCAGGGGATTGCTCTAGCCAGCGACTTCCGCAAAATTGCCTACCACCTACAGAATATTGCAGAGATTTCGCGGTCTGAGGAAGCCCAACTAAAGGCCGAAGTGAGAGAGCTACTGTCTGGCATTTGGGGTTGGCTCGGATTCAACGACTACGCAGCCAAAGATTTGAGTACCCAGGCAATGGTGCTCCATACCATGGCCGATGGAATGATGGAGGGCCACAAGATGATCAACAACGCCATGATTAAAATTAGGAAATTGGACAAGGATTTTGGGAGGTTATACACAGCACTCGCGGAAAGTAAATGGGAGAAGGCTAACGCGATGCCACTGCGCTTGGACACGATCCAATCTGCGGTGAACAGGTTGGATAGTGTGAGGAAGTCTTCTAGAGCCAGGCTTCAGTCGCAAAATTATGACAACCAACGAAATGGAATAGGAGGTACAAGGTAGCTTATGAAAGTAGTCTTAATTCAAAGGCAGACCGACAGAGCGGCGCTGAAGCTGTGGCTAGACTCGTGACTCCTCCATCTCACCAGACCCGGAGCGTCACCCCTACTACATCCCCAACCCCGATGCCCGACGCTACTCTACTGCCAGCGCGAGCTAGGCAATGGCATCTTTGGGCGCATTTGAATGGAAAAGTGCTGGATCAGTCCACAATCGGGCCCATGGTTCATCTCAAACCTTTATTAGAGCCATCTTTGATTTTAACCTTGGTCTTGAGCTAGGGGATACGAAGTACGTATATGTCAAGTGATTGCCAGAGCCGACCACCTGCAAATACAGGCTAGCTCAGGTTATGTACAAAATCGAGGCCAACGATGTCTTCAATGCCTTCCAAGCCGAAGTCTATGTAATGATCGAAGGCAGAAGCAGATGCGCCATAGTCATCGTCCTCTCCAGTATTCTCCTCGTTCATAATTGTTTACCTCCAGGATTCGTTAATATCAAATCGATGATTGTTGTCAGGAACAGCGGCGATTGCTATGATGCTTTCTAGAGAGGTGGGGGATTGATGGGCATCGTGTAGTGTATCACTTTGCTGGATTCTATCCGTGCTTCTGGAACCTGAGGAATCATATCCTCCCAGTTCGCAGGACAGCTCCTGGCTCCTTATTTCCACACCACTATCTGCCAACGAGCTCACAGGTGTCTCAAGTCGGGTTGGTCGAGTCCTTCCAGACCTGGGTGACGCCGGACGGGCAGAGGGAGTGGTAGTTGATAGCCACTCTTGGTACAGTCTGTTGAGCCCCCGGTTAAGTATTTCATGCAGACTCAATGTCACGTCTTCATCCGCAAGGGAGGAGATACCGTTAGTGCGCAATTCTTCGACCAAGGTGGCTGGGCCCTGCCTTTGGAAGAACTCCCGAAACCGACAAAGGTCCTCGGACAAGTCCGGGTCCATAAAGGCCGAAGCGGGTGGTGGCTGATTGGGAAATACAATGCCCCAGATGCGAAACCAATTCTCAGACTCTGAGAGATTAGGCTTGGACTTATGACTTAGTTCTCGATGTTGTTCGTGTGATATTCCATCTAGTTCCATAGATGAGTCCCAGGTGCGGTGGCTGTGTCTGATGTGTCCTTGGTGGCTTTGCTTGTCTGAAAAAATAACTAAGCAACGCTCGCAGTAAAACGCAGGTGTATGTTTTCTGGCCATGTGTTGCTTGACGCGTGAGATTTTGCCAAGTTTGGCCTTGAAGCAATCGTTGTGCTTAGAGGGATTAAGTTTCCAGACCGGGCAGGCCCGTAACAATGGATGGCTTTCGCCTCGGTCCAGCCTTGCTCTTTTCGGTTGTCGCTGGCCATCCGCATCATTCTCGTCATCATTACCCCCGGGACTCTGTCTCTTTTTGAGAGACCTCTGGTTACTTTCGGCAGTTGCGGTGGGGACATTGTTCGTGGTTAGCGATCCCCGCTACTGCTATTTGTATGGTGTGTGTCAACAGGCCGGTTGAGAATCCCAAATGCCTCCCAGGAGCCTACCTCAGCTATGGTGGAATTTGAGGTGGTTGTGCTTAGATATTCTGACAAAAGGCGATACACCGCCATATTGATAATCGAGTTCAAAGCAGCTGCGTGACCGGGCGGCTTGATGGATGTGTCCTGTGAGGTATCTGATATTGAAAGCATGTCGGAATCAAGAGATGCGTCTTGGGGACCAGTAACTATAGCAGATCGTGACCTGGAGTTCTCCAACGAGTCCATCGCAAGACATGAAGCTTCTTCCGCACAGCTGTGAGTGACATTGGTATATGGTTGTCAAGTAGACTTCCAGGGCCGGCGCATGTTTGGACCATGTGGCGAAAGTGCCAAAGGTCGTTTAGATTGATAGGGCGTAAGACTGCGCCGATGTCTCCCGATGACTGTTGACGGGTACAGGAACAGGCGTTATTGAGGGAGCCAAGAACGTGCCAAACAAGGATCCCATCTGTGTACGTGACTATCTCAAGCGCATAGTCAGACCCTTGGAGAAGAAAGTTTCCATCCACAGCATTCAGGCTCGGTACGCCGACGAGATCGAATAGAATCTCTGGGGACACTTCAATACCGGAGCAGAAGTCTGGGCGACGACGTGTCGGAAATCCCCGAACGATAACGGACTTGGCGACCTCACCACCCAAGTGTAGGCTCGACATGAAATTCGCGGTCCGTGATTCATTGTGAAATCCGATTTCCGAATGTTGGTTGCATACCAAACTCAATGAAGGACCTCGGGCAGCCAAAATAATGTAAGGCGTACTGTGAACCACAGAACTTGTGCATGACGGCTGCATGGCAGCCCCCAGCCAGGTCAATTGCTCACCGCACTCCGCAACGGTGTGGGCAGACCCGTTGATTGTGATAACCAAAATCTCCTCATCCAAGGTACATACAATGTTTGTTTTGTCCAATTGTGAAACTGGAAGTGTGTCAGGATACGAATAAGGTTATCGAAATGCGCGGACTCAAATCCTCTTACCATGAGGAATATTCTCGGGTGAGCCATCAACTGCTGCTTGAACGGCGTTTAAAAGCTCTGTCCCGCCAGAGACCCAAATCTGGTCAAAGTATTGCTTGATTGTGGTTGCTTGAACTTGGTCCGAAGAAGAGCTCGTTAAGACAACAAACGAAGAGATTGGCAGCTTTGGCGATCCCCGCCGCTTGAGCTGCTCCCTCTTGACCCGCATCTGGAGTGGGCTCCATGGAAGCTGGAATGTGACTTGGTAAGTATGGTGATCTTTCAAGTTATTAATTGTATTCTTTGGAAGTTTCGCCAGGATTGTTTGCCGGATTTTATCAACCATTACGGGTGACTCCGACTCATCCCAATGGAACTACGACTCCTTCAAGAGGCTGCTAATTAGCCAATCGTATGCCGGGCTGGAAACTATGGCCTTGCTATATGCCAGCAAATCATGCCAAATGAATTCATCGTCGTTTTTTTCCACTCCCTCGAAAAGGTCAGACGTGTTAACTTCTGGGGTACCGTCATCTGAATTCCGGCCCCACATGCTCATTTTACCATGAAGAGACATGACATCCGAAGCGTGTATGCGGACTTCAGAATGATCATCATTCGCATGGCGGAACATGAATTACAGGCGTAGGGCTATTTCCCTAGGTGATATTGTCAGTTGAGTCAGAGGGAAGGCCTTCAGGTTACAGTGATCCGAATTAACTAACTGGTGATTCTTGTAAACAAAATGCGTGATGCGTCGGCTCAAGCCATCTGTAGGACCAGTGCTGAGTTTGATGGCAAATGCCTTGATAAGACTAGGAATGGTCTTATACATGGATGCCCAATTATTGACGCTCACATGTTGTCCAATTTTGGCAAATATGTCTCTGCAGACGTTCGATATGGACTGCTGAGTGAAGTTAGGGATGACAGTGGTGGCAGCTGAGTATACCGTTCTCGTACCATTTCCACGCGCGTTCGTCATGGAAAGAGCGGCAGTATCTCCCAGTTTGTCGAAAGGAGTGTGAGAGTGTTCCCGGGTATCATAGAAGGTGGGATGGAAGAAGCCCTCCTGCTCTATAGGAGGCGTGTACTGGCTCTGAGAGGAAGGAGTCTTGGTGGGAGTGGTAGGTTGAGTTTTGTGAGACTTAGAGGAGAGGGAGGAGTGCTTCAACTTGATGGAACAGGTCTGAGATTTCTTCTTGGAGTTAACATTGTCAGAAGAGTCAGCACCGCGCTCGAGGTCTACGAGACGGCGCTTAAGCTTCCGGCCTGTATTGAGCAAGGTATGTCAGTCTACTCATCACCTGTTGGACGAGCCGGAGTTGGGTAAAGAGAACATACGGTAATTGCGCCGGGCAATACGGTTCTGTATCCTTCTGTGTTCGGCAAGGTCGGAGATCTTGACCCAGTCCTCACCGGGGTTGGCGGAGCTGCTGAAGGCATTGCTGCTGCCTTGGCCGGAGTACTGATGAGGAGTAGTAGGAGTGGCCGGGCAGGCGTAGTGAGGTTTTGACATGTTGAACATGGACATCGTGACTAATGATGAAGCGCGATGTAAGAATGGAGAGAGTGGGATAACGAGATAGTTGGAGGGAGAGCTAGAACTGCCGCGTTTCTCGAGTCTCTTCTATCAGTTTTGTTCGACTCGGATTGTTGTATTGCTCTCGGTAGGCAGGCAGCAATGAAGAAAGGAAGATGACGGAGGAGGGAGGCGTGATATTATAATAGACAGAAGAATGAGAAGATAATATAAGCCTTCGACGAGCTAGGGCCTGAGATTAGGTCCCGTAATCTCGCGCTCGCGTCCCATCATTAGGCCGAAGGCGGCCAGTTCAAGGCGTTGGTGTTTGTCTTTCGAATCGGATTTGGCAATGCGACATTTTAATTTTCGCTGAAGGAGAAAATGAGGGGGAATTTGTTCAACCAGCATGCTTGGCCAATAGCATCAAAAGACACAACCGTGACAAGATGCAATTTCGACGTATTTTTGCATGGCGGCACCTTGATTAAGAACTTAGTTAAATCTCGATGTGTTGAAGACCCTCGGATGCGAGGCTATTGCAGTAAAAGAAATGTGGTCGTCATATCGCTGTGTCGATAAACTCAGTAAAGTGTGTCTTGGCTCGGTGTAAGTGCCCCAAACATATAGGAAAAGAGCAGCTTGATACCAAACTTGGGACTGGGTAACTGTGACGTGTGCAAGGAAAATGCAGTAAATTTAAATATTAGGATCCCTTATCGAGGGGTATTAAGCTTTATAAATAATAAAATTTATTAAATAACAAATGTTTCTAGTGTATTTGGTGCAAAAATCTCCGATGGCTGAAGACGGCGAGGTGAAAGACCTTGCTTATGATGATATTCCAGAAACTTATCAATCACATGCGCATTCTCCTCAAACCCGTCCGTCCACCATTTCTCACGTCCCATCAGGCTCTGCGTTTCCTCAACATGATCTTCTAACCAAGGCAAAATATATCGTAATGCAGCGCGGCTTAAGACTGCGTCGTAGGCAAAGTCCAGCGCCTGCGCAAAAGCCTTGGTTAAAGACTTTGCAATCCAAGGGTTCGACTCGTATACACTCCGCTTGAGCGCTATGACATGCATTATGGGGAAAATGCCCGTTTCTTTGAAGTACTGGGACTCAACTTCCTTAAAGTTATTGAAGAGACGTCCAACGTTGGGCGACGTGCTCATTGACGAAGGCTTGCTAGCACTGAAAATGGCATCGATTTGGTTGCTGGCGAGCATTTCGGAAAGATTCTGGCCCGCACCAATGGGCGTGACCTTGATGTCTTCTGGCAAGCTGTGAGAGATTTTGCTGATCCGTGGCTGTGCGGATGGCTCAATGGCACCCACGAAGAAATGCACACTGCTCAACGGTACGCCAAAGTCCTCTTCCAAAATCCCGCGCTGCCACACCGCTGCTGTCACTGTGGATAAGGTCAGACAATGTATTTTAAAGGGGCGATGTGCTATGTTAGGAGATTGAGAACGAACTCTGATACTCGGGAATGCCAATCCTTTTCCCTCGAAGGTCTTTGGGAGTCGAGATTCCGGCATTCTTGTTCACGTAGATGGACTGGTGGCGGAAGAATCTCGAGGGGAACACAGGCAGTGCGATGAAAGGTGGGTTCTTTTGAGCCAGTGTCATCACATACGATGACAACGAGAGTTCCGAGACATCGAATTCTTGAAATCGCAGTTGACGAAAGAAGCTGGTGTAGGGTAGGATATTAGCTGGTAAAATCAAACAGCTGCAAAGACATTCGAAGCTTCTTACGTTTCCTCGACGCGATAATTCAAGAAGGTAAGTTCTATACCTTCGGGACGAACTCTTCCATCTTCAATGGCCTTCACTCGGTCATAATCCCAGCAGGCAAACGAAAGTCGAAGGACCATTTTGTGGAATGGGGTACTTCGTGTCTGGAATTCTTTGAACCCCTCATAAGTTCGCGAACTGCTCTGCTGGAATACATATAGTGCGCGGTGAGGCAGTAAATCAGCCGAATTCGCCCCTGGGGACCAGAAGTCCGGGAAGTCCGCAGAGTCCGACTACCCCATCTGTGGTGCGGGCAGCCTTTGTAGGTGAAACCCCACCGGCACCGAAGTTATTAGCATCGAAAGTTTTCAACCTTCGGCTTTCGGCTCTTGTGACAGCATTAATGCGGCACAGATTCACGTGGTCTGCCTTCTAGCGCCGATGAGTGCATTTAGGAGGAGATGGCGGCTCTGTGGCGAGTCCAAATGCCTCTTGGAAACGTACTCCTACACGAACTGGGTCCAACCCGACCCGAGGAGCCCTTTGTTACGAAAGTACAGGCGCTTTCGGAAGCATTGGGTAAGAAATTCTTGAATTGTGAAAACTGTATTTTTTTGACCTTGTGCTGGCAACTTGTTCACCTTGAGGGAGCAGACAGAAGTTAGATGAGGAAAGGTACTATCTGCTATCACATTCTGGACCGCTCTCTATCCAGTCCTTTCTTATAGCGACGAGTTACTATTAGTATTTGTAAGACTGGGTAATAAAAATTCTCTTTAGGAAAACTAGGTATGACTACTAGACAGCGATGAAAGGTCAACTGTAAGACTTAAGTATTTCTAAAAAGCTTGTAATGATTGTTTAGTTCCCCTGGTTGGTCCCAAGGCTTTTCAAGGATGAAAAGCTTATTCAGAGAATGTTGTCTTCTAAACAGTAGTGTTTACAGAACATTGCACAAGTTGAGCAAACAAGCAATATCATATAACGAAAGACTTGATAGCTACTAACATGTTCTCCAGCCCCAACCTATTCGGGAATGTTGGATGTCGCAATTGTCAACATTTTTGAAGCAGTACTGTTCTTGAAGCTCACGGTGCTTGGCAGACTTATTCCTGAACACTATGCAATGCATGCACCCCCTCTACCTATCCACCTTCTATGCACCCTCAATCCAAATATCCATGCTCGCGGTAGAATCTCTCAGCTCCGGGATGCAATGGGAAGACCGTTTTGGCCATTTCTCTTGGGTCTATGGGCCAACAAATCGGCGCCTTGTTTCCCGGAAAACCGTGAAACTGGACCTCGATCTTGGCTTTCTTCTCCACCAAGATCCAAGTGATGAGGTAGGCCACATCCTCTGGCAAGTCATCACGACACATGAGAATGAAGTCGAGGAACTCGAGGGCTGGAATTTCCTCCTTGAGACTCTTCCAGTACCCGGCAGGAATTGTCGACGCTGGTAGCCCGGGAGTCGTCTTTTCGATGATTGTCAATGCTTCGGGCTCGGCAGGCATTGGAAGAAAACCACGAGGGCCATCAATCAACTGGACCCACCAGTCTGTCATCAAGGCCTCGTTGATAACGGCATTGAAGCCAAGACTTGGGTCCTGGCACGGAACGAGACACTCCTCAGGCCGGTTAGCATACACCACCTCGCCGCCCCAAGACTTGATGGTGTTGACCGAGACTCCATGTGCCTCCAGGTAGCGATGGCAGACATAGCCAATCGGGCTTTCCCCATCTGGCCCCAATATGATCTTGAGCTTGGGTTTCTTTTGTCGAATATCCGCAAAAGACCTGCAACCCAGAGACGGATCAATTGCAAAGAGCATTCGATCATCTTGAGGAATCGTCGCTATGCCTCTCAAATGTGGCGCCGGGCCTCGCGATTCCCAAGGACCTGTTCCGGTCAAGGCATTCTTGAGCAACTTGACAGGCGTGTTGATGGCAATGTCGGCGAATCCTGAAGAGATAGAATCCGTGATTTCCATGCCACCACCTGCCACGCTCCAAATGCAGGTCTTGCTGGTTGGGCCGCAGCGTTCGGTGAATTCTTGTGTGATGAATGCCATGACCCGATGGAAATTGGCGTGGCCCCAGTCACCAATGCAGCGGAGAGTCACACTGCGGTCGATGGTAGGGTCATCTTTGGCCACGAGAGTTGCGACAGGTCCTTCGGACGGACGGTCTCTGCCTTTGTAATCCACAGCGGCTGCGATAGGGATGGACATTTTGAATTGGTACTGTTTGTATTTGGTGGCATTCTCGATTGACTATTCTCGCCTCGGGGTATATATGGCACTGAGGTCAAGAGGCTCCATGACACAGAATCTGAAGCAAGAGAGCAAAGGCATCCATCGGTGTCAATCAAGCTGGTGGGGTAGTTCGCTCTGAGGTGGTGGCCGACTGCTGCCTACCCCACCGTTTACAGGACGCGCACCAGGAGCCGCATCGGACCCTTGGGATGGAAGACCATGTGCCGATGGAATTGGTGTAAAGACACGGAATCTGATATGGCTGAAGTGGACACGAAATCATGGCAAGGGCCTCCAAGTCGCTGAGGATGTCGAGAAGTCTCGCCGAGTAAGTACACGGGAATTTAAACAAACTCACTTGAGAGGATGCCAGCCGGCGTCTCTTCTCCCCCTTGCTCTGATTTTACCATGCCCGGTGGGGCACCTTTTACTACAAGGTAGCTTTATGAGAACTGTATTTCCATCTTTAGGCCGTATCTTTCGCTGCTCTTCACAGCCTCGGTTGGTGGAATCCTTGCGACTTGAAGACCACCCGAAGACGGCCCGAGCAGCATCACGTGGTATGTACTACGTGTAGTTACTCAGCGGCCTCGGAGTCTTGTGTATGTCCGGCGCTAAAAGGAGGGGAAGAAGTCCGGCATACCCGGGCTCCAACGTCTTCAATCTTCTCCAGCTTGACCCAATGACGATTCACGTATTGGCGAGCATGAGACATGGCTGTTACTCGAATAAACTCGAGATATTCGAATCATATGAGCCTCCAAGTTGAATGCTTGTTACTGAACGGGGGAGTCAGGGTATGCCGACTTGGCGACTTCTTTGAGAGCATGAATTCATGAGTCGTTCAGGGTAAAATAGGTCTAGTCTCATCACCCATGTAAAATACATCCTGGTCCGCGTTTCAAAGCTTTGCGGAGAAGCGGGGTATTGGCGCCTGGCACGGCAACCCCGGATTTCATTACGCCTCCCTCGAGGTAGCAATTGTTATGTCGATACATCTGCCTCAGTACGATCGGCCGTGGCTAACCCTGGACGGGACTGTCGGACTATGCAGACATGTGTCCCGGGCCAATTTGTATCTAAAAAAAGCTTCAATTTCGATATGAGACCCTCATCGTGACGTATCGTTGATGTCACAGCTGGCCCACCTTGTTGCCACGGCTAATGGGATCCTTGTTTTGTCAGAGACTAACAATTATTACTCCGGGGGAGGTGGATCCCTCGGACCTCACGAAGTCACGAAGGACGATGCATGCCAGCCCCCTTTCCCTCTGCGATTGAAGCCGACTACCTTCCATTGCACAGCTGCCATTTGCAGTCTCAACCAGCAGGGATATTGTGATTAACTTCGAGGCGAAAGAAGGATCAAGCCCGACGAGAGCTGAATAGAGTCGGAGGTGCAGTCAGCCAAACTGCCATGCCTCCTCTGACCTTCTAGAGGCCTTACGACTAAACAAATCTTGATCTTTTGGGGCAACGGCCTGAATCCCACCCCGAGTATGCTTGCCGGCGGCGGAAGGCGGAACCAGACGAGAGCCCGACTTAGATGTTCTTATTGCCAAAGGTCCTTCGCACGCGCCGAACATCTGACCAGGCACGAGCGTTCCCGCAAGCATCCCCAATATCCTCAGGATTTCAGCTGCCCTCTTATGCTGACTTCGCACCCAGACCGAAACGAAAAGCCCTTCAAGTGCAGCCATTGCGAAAGTACATTTTCCCGTAAAGATGTCATCAAACGTCATCACCTACGCTACCATTCTGCCTTGCCTAGAGTCGACTCAATAATGAATCTAGCACTACCGGTAGATGCTCCCGTGGGTACAGCTGCACCCGCCGTGGAAGAAACCTCTCTCCCAGCACAGCCAGAGGATCAGTCGGCACAAGAGGTGCCGGAGACAACCAGTACCGTGCACATGGAGGCCTTTCCAGATGACTCTGCTGTGCTCCATTTCATGTCTCAGCCGTCCATAAGCTCCATTGACCAAATCGACTTCTTTCTTGGCGGCGGGGATTTTCCATTCTCAACCGACGACACACTACTCGGAGGTGAGATCTTCGGTGAACGTCTAGACCAAGGAGACAGCACTTTCCTCAATCCCACGCACTCCCCGTCTTCCAGCCTCTCGACCAAACTTAGCCAACAAGGTTGGAGAGGATCCTGTGAGATCTCCACCGATAAGCGTCAAGAGCTGGAAAAAGAAGTTCAAGCCGCGTTTGCTCAGGTAGGGCATTGAAGCTTCCTTTCCGCCAATATAATATCCCAACATGACTAAAGTTGACGCAGAGCAACGAGATGGACAGCCTCAGACTCCCTTCGTGCCTCGCGTTTGAGAGGCTCCTCAACAACTGTTTTGAGTTCTTCCTGACATACCTGCCATTCGTCCACGTTCCAACTTGGAGGGCGGAGTCTGCTCATCCTACTCTTTTGATCGCCATGGCCTCGCTAAGTTCCTGTCACAACGGAGACAGCGTCACTGCCCAGGCTCTGTATCGAGCCGGCCGATCATCTGTCATCAAGCATGTGAGTGAACCTCCCTGCGCCCTCGGATGACGATCAGCGAGACTGAGAAGTGACAGATTGATTCTGATTTTGCACTGTCAACGGAGGAGCAACCTGAGTGGTTGATACAATCGATCCTGATCCTCATAGCTTACGGCATAGCCGATGGAAAGCGCAAACCGCTTGACGAGGCTTTGTCGTGGGCGTCCCTATTTGCAACTGTACGCTCTTCTTGACCCGAGCCAGACAGAATTTAACCCTTTCAGATCTTGCGCCATCAGAAAGCTCCCGAATTTAATGACTTCGGCCCCAACGAAGACATTTTCACTCGGTGGAAGACTTGGATCGACTGTGAGACATCCGTACGGTAAGTTCGACCATCCACCTTGAAGACAGTTCAGTAACGGGGGCTCTAGAACAAAATGCGCTGGCTTCGTGATTTTGAACAATCTCAGCATTTGCTATAATGCCGCTCCAGCTCTACTCAACCGCGAAATGGGTGACGCTCCACTCCCCTGCCGCGAGAGCGACTGGGCAGCTACCACGCCAGCGACCTGGTTGGAAGCTAGAAATCAAGTCCAGGGCAAAGAAATTTGTCTCAATGAGGCCCTCGGCGGTCTTCTCTCTTCTTCACAGCCCCAGTCCAACAGGATCAGCAGCTTTGGGGCCTATGTAATGCTACATGCGATCGTGCAACGGATGTGGAGATTGCAACCCGAAATCTGGACTCGAGGCAATACGTGGGACTTCTTCCAGGCGTCAATTCTTGAGGCATCAAGTTTCCAGGCCTCAGGTTTGGCCATTCGAAAGTGGCAAGCCTTCTGGGAAGAAGATTCGGAATGCTCACTATCGTCTCGCAACCCCCATGGTGCTGTCTCAATGAACGCAGCTGCACTGCTTCGACTGGCGCACATGAGACTTCACACAGACTTTTCGTCGGTTCGATCTGCAATAGTCTCCCTAGACGCAATGAAAATTTCACAGAGCATGAAGGAGCTCTGCATAAAGATCGATAGATCCAACTCAACACTGAGGACTGCCGTGCATGCTCTGCAGTCACTTCGAACAAGAATCAGGCTAGGCATGGCACTGAAGACTCCAGGCAGGGCGCCATCACACAGCCTACAGCTACACCTCGTCTCAATAGAATGCTGTAAGTCTCCCCGCATGCTATAATAACATGGCTCTAATGTTCGCATGCAAGGTCTCTTCGCCAGCGCGTGGATGAGAGAGGTCTCGTCCCGCCCTGAATATAAGCGAACAAGTGACGAAAAAGATTGTATGGAACTAGGGGCAGAGATTCTTGCGGAGGTGGACATTGGGCAATCGAACAAACAAAAGCCTCAGTCGACACAATTGATATATGCCTGGGCATTAGTATTGGAATCTTCTGCAGTGTGGGGTATCCAAACGACATTGGCTGATGCGTTGAAAAACTACGCTGAAAGTCAAAGCTGGCGGCTTGCTGGTTCTTAGTCAAGTATTAATAATACGACTATCGTCGGACTGGACCAGAAACATCAAAATGAACCCGATGAATAAGCATCACTGTCTTTATCATCCGATGAATGATTAAGTGCCTGATTGTATTGTACCCTCCGTAATCATTGGTCTGTACTCCATCCATGATTCTCCTGCCGACATTCCACGTGGGGTATGTCGTTTGCCTGGAATTATCTTACCCCACCTGCAGCGTGTGTACTGTAGGTAGTTACTTACCCCATCTGCTTAGAGAAGACACTATACGATCAGGCTGGGTTCGTTGTAGATATATCACGCCCCGAGGTGCGTGTTTATCTCATTTAGCCCTGTTCCCTGGATCTCAATTGGGGAAGCTACAATAAAAAATTGTCCACTGTAACCAATTTCTTCGAACGTCCCTAGCAGCGAAAGCTGAACTTATTATTTAGAACTTTCCTGCCGAGCCTGTGAAGATATGGACGACGCAATCAAAATCAAGAGCCAGATACCACCAATGATGGATCTTTCTGCAAATACCATCACGCAGAATGTCCACACAATCAATTCTCTCTGCCCTGATCCACGTTTGAAATGGGTGATTGGACGGCTCGTCACTCATCTTCATGACTTCGCGCGAGAGACCAGACTGAGTTCCGAAGAGTGGATGATAGGGTTGAAGTTTCTGACAGAAACCGGCCAGACATGTACGGAACTGCGACAGGTAAGATAGGGTCCATCGCAGCTAGCACTTGTTTCTGACGAGATAGGAATTCATCCTGCTGTCAGATATTTTGGGTCTTTCCCTCGTGGTGGATTCAATCGATCACCCGAAACCACCGCATTCGACCGAAGGCACACTTTTGGGACCATTTCATACTCATGATGCTCCGGACTTGAACAACGGAGATTTGATGTCGCATGACCCTCACGGCGAGCCGCTTCTAGTGCTCTGCACCATAAAAGACACCTCCGGTAGGCCCATAGAGGGTGTCAATGTCGACATCTGGGAGACGGATTCGACTGGCCTTTACGACACGCAATACACAGACCGAAAGGCCGCGGATGGGAGATGCGTCATCAAAAGTGACAAGAATGGGGCCTTCTGGTTCAAGGCGATAACACCTGTTCCGTATCCAATTCCGCATGACGGACCTGTCGGAAAGCTTTTGAAGCTGCTACATCGACATGCTTATAGGCCGAGCCATATGCATTTCATGTTTCAAAAGAAGAAGTTTGATCATCTCATCACGTGGGTAGCCTACTCCATTACATATTTATCGGGTTTCTGACTAGGTGCACCTCTAGAGCATTATACCTCCGCGGAGACCCCTTCGAAAGCAGTGACCCGGTGTTTGGGGTGAAGGAATCCCTGCTTGTCGACCTCGACCAAATTGACGGTGATACGGCACAAAGATACGGAGTCTCGGCACAGAGTAAGGTCTTGAGGCGTGACTTCGTGCTTGTGACTGAACAAGAGTCGGCCGAATTGAGAAATAAAAAGACGCAGGAGGCCTTTGGCGCCGCAGGCTTTGAGTATAAACTTTGGAATGGGATGCCAGTTCCCGATGTCGACTGAATGGCAGATGAAAAACTCTCATCATATTGAGTTACAAACAATTGAATTGCCTATCACGAATGGGATCCTTCTATCGTTTGCTAGAAGCAAGTTACGTTCGTCAACTCTTGGAGCGCCGCTCTGTGATGCATGAATAGACCTGCGTTTTACCTGTCAATTGCCGCAAGGCGGAGGATTATTGGCACGTAAGTAAGGGACAGGAGATGTGATCTTCGACTTGGGAGGCAATTGCGGCCTCTTTTGATAAGTCGGGCGGTGAGGATTCTCGTGAATGCCATCGTAGCTGTATCGGTGTGTAATGAGGAAACTGGGTTTTTCCTCCTGCTGGTAAGTCGCCCTTGAGGGAGCGGGCATCTCATTTAATACTCAGTAAGGGACTTGGTAGGTTTCGAAAACCACCTCAAATAGGAGGTTGGAAGGACGTCTATTTGTCTAACTAGATGAGCAAGCATCTACTTCTTCAAAGCATAAGCCTCAAACCACTGAAGTGCCAAGAGGAAAGCAGACTCCTTCGCAAGTCTCTGCACTCTGTCGCTCAGGTCACATCTCACCGCGAATCCATGGTGAACACCCGAGTAAAGATTGATCTGAAAAGGAGTTCCGAGCGCCTTCAAAGTCTCTTCCGACTCGTGCCGCTCACTAGCAGGGAAGATGGCATCAATTTCAGCGGCTGCTATAGCCAGCGGGCCCTTGATATTTCCCAGTTCCTCCTTGGAAATCATGGCAGGGTGGGCAATGAAGGCAGCATCAATATTGCTCGAGGCAAGAGCTCGCACCGCGTATTTGGCGCCGAAACAATACCCGGCGACTGCAATTATCTGCGATGTGCTGTTAATTCTGCTGGCTGGTAATGATATCATGGGTGGTGAGTTTTCTGACCTTGCACTTGTACTTGTCGCGAAGAGTTTGGAGCGATTGTTCGACAATCGGGTCCACTGTTTGCAGTATGTGAGGAATTTTCTTCGCTCCTAGTTGGCCCTGCATCCAGTTCGGGAGGTTGAAAGTCGCCATGTCGGCATTCAAGGGCACCGGGTCGCCATAGAACAGGTCAGGCATCACGACAAGATATCTACAGAGGTTGTTAGTCCGATGCTCTGCAATGATAACACATTGGCTGTACCCATTTGCCGCGTATTGGTCTGCAACAAGTTTGGCATTATTAAATTTATACCCGACTATATCCGTGAGACTGGTTGGCTGTTAGACAAAGCTCTCATGGCGATGGCGGTGAAGAGAGTACTAGAGTATGCCACATCCATTTAGGGATGCTGGTTCAGTAACATAGACTTCAAAGTCACCAATGGTTTCAAACCGTCCGTGAGCTTCGCCTTCATGTTTGACGCCCTGGAAGCAGCAAGGTCCCAGGCTATAAGATGTCATGATTTAAATGCTCTATCAAAAATAAACAAAGGATCTGTTCTCAGTGACAGTAGAGGTGGGATGAGTTACGATAACGGAAAATGTTAAACATGAACTTGGAGGAGCGGGCTACGGGTTACAAAAAGCTTTCGCAGCGTGAATGGAAAGCTCCCCAAGAGCTCCTGTTGCACTCGGTTAGTCCGGTGGACGCTCTCCACCAGAGCTCTCTCGCTCCCCACCGGAACTGACTCGCTCCCTCGGGCGGCTCTGCACCATGTGGACAATGGGGCGGTGAGGAGAAGCTGTGCTAATCTGATTTCGAGCCCCCGCCGCTATCGGTAGGGTCAGTGTCGATAGGCCTGGTTTAGTTTAGCAAAGAATTCTCCGCTTCTACAATAAGAGAATGTGCTGCCTTTGGGGCTCGCTTATTAGCACAGCAAGTCTTCAATTGCCTGAAAACAACCACATTATATCTTCTATTTAACATTAAGGCACGAAAACCCGTCCTAAACTCTGCCATATTATCAATTCCACATAATTCCACACAATGTCGAATATTTTGATTGTCGGGGCTGGCCCAGTTAGCCTCTTTATAGCTTTGAGACTTGGCTAGCGAGGTATCAAAGTTGACGTGTTTGAGAAATCAATACAACCAGACCAATCACCGCGAGCCTCTGGGTACTATGGCCCGATCTTAACCCTGCTTCAAGAATCTGGACTCTGGGACGCCGCGTCCACCGAAGGATATAAGGAAAACGGCCTCTTATTTCGCAGCCCCCCAGTCGACAACGGCAACGGCAGCAAGACATTTAGCAAGCAACTTGGATATATTCAAGACAAGCAGCTCATACTTCCTCAGTCTAAATTAGCTGCCATCATTAAGAAGGCAGCCGTTGGCACTGGAAATGTCACTATCCACTATCAGGCAGAAGCAACCACAATCGAGGAGGCTGGTAACAGTGTCACCCTCAATGTCAAGAACCTTGGATCCGGAGAAATAGAGAAGTTTAAGGGAGTTTACCTAGTGGGAAGTGATAGCGGAAGGTCCACCATTCGGTCGCTCCTCAAGATACCTTTCCCAGGCCATACTTGGCCAGAGCGCGTTATTACGACCAACGTAACCCGGGTGAATGACGAAATGCCCCATGTCGCACCGCATTTCATCATCGACCCTGTCAATTGGGCCGTGGTGATTCCGTTGTCGCCTCCCAAGTTGGGGCAACCATCGCAGTGGAGATATACAATCGCAGTTGACAGCAAAGATCCTCATACCGATGAAGAGCTTTTGGCGCCAGAGAATGTTAAGTCTTTGTACGAGAAGGTCATGGTAGGAAAGAGACCGCTAGAGTATGAGGTTAACCAGAAGACGGTGTATCACCTTCATCAGCGCCTCGCCTCGACCATAAAAAGAGGTAGATGTCTCCTAGTTGGGGATGCTGCTCATCTGAACTGCGTACGTTATCTCGAACATATCCCCAAGCAACCTCCGCTGACTTCCCATATGCGCAGCCCCTGGGTGCGATGGGACTTTCTACAGGTCTGCTTGATACCGAGGCTTTGGCAGATTCTCTGATCATGGTTCTCAATAAGGGATATCCAGAACTGGTGCTCGATATCTACGCAGATGTCCGCAGAGAGGTTTTTAGCTACTTCATAGATCCGATGACGACGCAAAATAAGACACGCATTCAGAATAACCCCGTTGACGTTGAACGCGAGGATGGATTTATGCGCATATTGAGGAACCCTGCAATCGACTCACCAACCTTGTTTCAAAAGATGTACAAGGAGCGATGGGTTACGGACATACGAAGTAAGGTTGCAACAATAGGAATCAGGGCGGAGTAACGAGGAGTGGGTTATTATCCTTTATACATACTCTCAAGGCATAATACCGTAAATTGCAAAGTTTTAGTCAAAATCATATAATTCTCAAACATAAAACTAGAATTCATACCATTAAACTCTTTTTGGGGGCGATTTTATCTAACCAGACCAGCAAGTAAGCCTGTACCTTGCCACCACACGATCTCGACCACATAGCACAACTAACACAACCACTGCATCGAGGTCATCATTAACTCTACACTACACTACACTACACTAACCACGATTGCTAATTGATAAACGTAGCATTAAAATAAGCCTCTTAGGCTACTACCGACTCCTCTTCAGGGCTTTATGTGCCCTGGAATACTTGTCAATTCTCTCAATATCCTTGACTTTAACCAACAGCTTAATAGGATCTAGAACGGGTCTCCTTCTGCATCGCTGAGATTGTCAATTGTATGTTCACTGGTTCAGGGGGTCTTCATGAGTCTAACGGTGTTGCATTTAGCGGATGAAAATGATCATATGCGCGAGAAGCTTCACTTCCGCAATAGCCGTTAAAACCCGATACCCCGATACACGTGGCACGCGGAGTTTCCCCACCAAAATCACCAAAGAGTTACTCCAAGACTCCTCGAAGGCTTTGCACAAAACCTCAGGGTGGGTAGGGCTGGGGTCTCCAGATTTTCTATTTCCCCAGACGGGGCGTGGGGTAACATTGGGACCGTAACGGTACTGTTAGTTACTACAAACCATAGTCGCCCTACTTGAAGTTCCCTCAAGTTGCCCTGTCCCGGTGCTGCAATATCAGTTTAGGACAGCATTAGTCTCAGCTTCTGCACAGCATTAGTATCAGCTTCTGCACAGCCTCAACAGGTTTCTTTTATAACAAAACTCGTTCAACAAACACCAGCCGCATTTAGATCACCATGATTCTACCAGACCTTCTGCCCCTACCAGACCTTCTACTTCAAGCAGACATCGCTTCCATTCTCCAGTCTATCGCCGCAGTATTAACTTTGTACTTGCTCACATTGGCAATTTACAATCACTACTTTCATCCATTGAAGAACTTCCCTAGACCCTTCTGGGCATCTATTACTCCTCTTTGATATTACAAGGCTATTATTACCAGCAAATAGGAGGATTATCAGTTGCCAATCCACCAAAAGTATAGGCTAATAGTACAGCTTGCCCCAGGCTATATTCAGGTAGCCGACGCCAAAGTAATTGAAACTATCTATAGGCCGAAGCAGAATTTTCTAAAGTCCAACTTCTATCTGCTATTTAACGCCAAAATCTCGCCCAGGCCTAATAATTTTGCCGTAGTTGATAATAAAGTTCACTCAAAGCAAAGACGAGCCGTAGCCCATATCTACACCTAAGCTACAGTACTCAGCTATAAACTAAGTGTGGATAGAGTCATTATACTTTTTAAGCAGTGAATAAAGGAATTTAGTCATTCGGGAGAAGTTTTCAATATAGCTCTATGGCTCCGGAGATATACATTTAATGTTATGGGCGAAATATTCTATAGTCGCGAAGGAGGCTTTGGTTTTATTTGCGACGATATTGACTACAACAACTGGATGTTCCTACTCGAGGTGTTAATAAAGCCAATTGCAGCGAATGCCTATATACCACTCGGCCTAAAAAGCATCGCCATGGCGGGTCAATTCATCTTCTCCTCCAAGGTTCGCGCCGGCATGTTAGGCTTCCCAGTGGTTATCAAACAATCCTACGTA